CTCTGGGCCCCACCGATTATTTCCCGCTGAGAGCACCTTCTAAGAACAAGATTCGTAGATGGCGGAGCCATCGCTAGCGGCGACAGAGACATCATAGAAGGCGGCATGGGGCCCATGACCAGCTGATCTGGCAAGGTTGCAGGTTGAGATCCAGCGACACCGGCATCGACATCGGAGGCGGCGGATTCACGCAAAGATGGGGCGAGAAATCATCACAAATAAAAAAAGAGAAAGAGAGAAAGAGTATTATGGACTTCACATGTTTAACACTCTTGGGTTTTGTGTTTTGGGGGCTTAGAGAATAATGAGTTTACTTTTGGGGGTTTTGGGAGCGTTGAAAACGTCTTGGGAGGGGGTGGAATAGTTGTTAGGAAATAGGGGGCTAGAAGCAATTTCCCCAAAAAATTATAAAAAAAGTTTATAGAACTTAAAAGTATAACTTTTTGTGTTTCTTGTTCTCTCTTTGAATGGTTCAAAACAAGAAAATGGGCCCATTAGTTTATAGAAATAAGATGTTTTCTTTTTCTTTTGTTTGGTTGACATAAAAATTTTAATAAAAAAAGTGCAAATCATACGGTTAGTTTAACAACTAGTTTGGCATCCTTAAGGTCTTGGCATAGGGCAAAATTGCATCAAGAACGTGCCTCAACATTGCAGGCTTTGCTGTGCGATTCGATTCCTCATCGCTGCAATCTGTCCTGGCTATGCAAAGAGGTGGGTGATGTCTTTGGCGATGGGGGAGAGGTTTAGGGGTTTGGCTTGTCGAAGAGGTCGCAAGTCACGTGACCGAAGGAGCCGAGAGTTAGGGGGTTGGGTGTTGGAGGGAGGGTGTTTGGGGTCGCGAGAGACGTCGTAGACCTTCCAGGGACCGCTGGGGTGTCGGAGAAGGGAAGGATGTTGGTCAGAGAGTTGCCGACGATGCTGGTGTCACCGATGATGAGGTCAACTCTCTGGAATTTAGGGACGGAGGGAGGCGAACCATGCATCATCGGACCTTTTGCAGGCCGTGCCTACAGCTCTGACACACAACCAGCGCATTTTTTTAATGGGAAGGTGTTCGATGGAAAATGAGATGGAGATGGGAAATAGGGTAGGACCAATTTATATTACTATTTTAATAGGACTGTAAGATTTCTTTGCAATTTTCTCTCATTTTGAGAGGAAATCAATCTCTATAAAACGAGGTATTTTTTCCTACTTTGTAGAAGACATTTCTCTAAATTGTTTTGAACCAAACACAATTTATAGAAAACTACAGAAAATTTTTAACTATAAAATTATCATTGTCAAGTCTTTTCCCAAAACTTTTCTATAAAATGGGTGAACCAAACACCCACTAAGAGTAGTATAAGACTTGTAGTATACTTATCATTTTCCAACATGCACATATCAGAACCTAATTACCTTGTTAGCTTAATTAATAGTCTAAGACTTCCACTGCGTATAACTGAATATCGACTTGTCACTTTAATTATATATTAATTTCTTAAACCCACACGTATAGATC